AAACTAGTTGAGTTCTATTGATCCTTCAGGGTCTATATTTCTATGATCCTATTCCGATTTCTTCAAATAGATGGAAAAATATTAGTGGCATATCATATATTTAATCTGTATCTTCCATATAGGAATTAGCATTGTCATAGGCATATAGTAGGTACTCTATTAATACATGCAGTTTGATTAATGTAGTTTAACTGTTAAGCTCCCTTATCAACAATATAGTGAAAGAAGAGAGAGAGAGAGAGAGAGAGAGAGAGAAGAGAGAGAGAGAGAGAGAGAGAGAGAGAGAGAGAGAGAGATACACCTTATAGGCTACTGGTACTGGGTAAATTTCTTCCATTTTATAATATTTCCTTAACATTTCATTAAACCTTATAATTACCTAAAAAATATAGGAAAGACTGCACATCCTCTCTTGCATCTCTCCTTTCAATATCACAACTGGAAATTATATTAAGTAAATTATATTCCTATACACTTTAGTGTTGTACCCCCAAGGACCATGAAGCTTTTCCATCTGATTTATAGTTGAAGTCTCCTATATTTGATCTCCCCTTATTAGAATGTGAGCTTGAGAGCAGAGACTGTGTCCCCAGTGCTTATTATAGCATTTTTCACATAATTAGCAATTAATGAATGTTTTTATCATTCATTTATCACATATGATTTACCACATATGATTTTACTTGAAAGAATATGGAATATTGACCCTGGAAAAGAAAAGACTTAGTGGGGATATTATAGCTGTCTTCAAGTTATTGAAATCCCTCAAAACAGGATTGGAGTCATTCTATTCCTTGACCCCTGGTGGTAGAATGTAGAGCAATGGTTTGAAAGAGCAAAGAAGAAAAATTAGTCTTATCTTAAAGAAAACAAACAAAAATCTTTTCTAATAATGATAGATATTCCAGAGTGGAATTGGCTGCTTCTGGAGATAAGTGGGTTTACTCTCATTAGAAATCTTCAAGTAAAGACTGCATGACAACTTGCCAGGTATATGGAGAGGAATTTTTTTTTTAAAGTATGAGTTGGACTAGATTGTCACTGTTGCTGGCAACATAATCCTGCAAACATAAATATTCTGTAATTCCCATCATCTAGTTTCAGTGCCTTAGATATAAGATATATGTCTCCAATATATCCTCTGTGTCTCCATCTTACATCCCTCAATCCATTCTGAAAAGCCCTACTCACACTCTCGATGCCTTAAAACCTCTTTTGCCCATTCCACCATGTCCTACTATGAATCTCCTCTCCAAATTTCTTCCACCTTTTTCTTTAATTGAAACCCAACTTTACCCTGAGGGTATTATATCATTGGCCACCCTTACCACTAGAATCCATTCTTTCCTCCATCTCAACTTTTCCTAACCAATTTAGTTCTTCTCCCAGTACACTCTCCAGACCATTTTTTCTACTTCCATCATTCATTAACCTTTCCTCCTTTGAAGGTCTATATAATCTCTTTGTCATATCATCCCTATCCCTGTTGTATTGACATTAAAGTCACTCTGTCAACATTCTCAATGACTTTAGCACCTGATTATGGTTTTCCACTGCCCACTATGCTCACCAATCATTCTCATGGACTGTATATTGGTTATCCATTTGAAACATATCATAAACTATAACCAAAGGCCTAAAAAACTTTCCATACCCTTTGATCCAGCAATACCCCTGCTAGGTCTACATCCCTAAGATATTTTAAAAAAGAGAAAATGATCTATTTTATAAAAATATTTATAGCAGCTCTTTCTGTGGGGGCTAAGAATTGGACATGGAGATGATGCCCATCAATTAGGAAGGGCTAAACAAGCTGCAATATGTGATTGTGATGAAATATTATTGTGCTATAAAAAATTACAAGCAGGATGATTTCAGAAAACCTGGAAAGACTTACATGAACTGATGCAAATAAAGTGAGCAGAACCAGGAGAACATTGTACACAGTAGCAACAATATTGTATGATGAAGAATTGTGAATGACTTAGCTATTCTTGGCAATACAGTGATCCAAGACAATTTCAAAGGACTCATGATGAAGTATGCTACCTGCCTCCAGAGAAAGAACTGATATTGTCTGAATACATACTTAAGCATGCTATTTTTCACTTTCTTTCTTTCATTCTTTTTTTTTTAAATTTGAGTCCTTGTAGAACAGGACTAATACAGAAATATTTTACATGATTGCACATGTATAATCTACATTGGATTGCTTACCATCTCAGGGAGGGGAGAGGTTAGAGAGGGAAGGCAGGATAGAATTTGGAACTCAAAACTTTAAAAAAATTTTTTTAATTGTTTTCATATGTCATTGGTGAAAATATTATCAAAAATTAAATAAAATATACCACACAATTTGTCTACCTTCTTCACTCCATTGATCTTCTTCAACCTGATTCAGCTCATTGTCAGTATGTTCACACTGACACCCTTTCATTTAACAAAACTGCTTCTAGTTTAATGGTTTTGAACTTCGAAATTCTACTTTCTGACCACAACCTATCTATCCTTCCATCTCTCTCACTCATACTAAACTTATTTTTCACCCATATCATGACTTTTGCTTAATCAAACTCTCTTATTATCCCAGTCTCTCCTTAATCTGGTTTTACTTGTTTCATGATCCCTTGATTATTAACACCCCAATTCTCTTGAACTCACTTTGTGTATTTATGTTTACAGAGTTTTTAATGACTTTTATATATGACACCCAGTATAATGTATGATGCAATTGACTTGATATGAGGGCTGATAGAGAAAGAAGAGTCATTTGACTCAGATTGAAAACCTTACCACTACAGTCTATTTCCAAAGATGATTAGAGAAAAAGGAAAATAACCTATATGTTCTAAAATATTTATAGCACCTCTCTCTGTGATAGCAAAGAACTGGAAATTACAGAGATGGATGTCAATTAGGAAATGGCTGAACAAATTGAGGTATATGATTGTGATGGAATACTGCTGTGCTATAAGAAATGATAAGCTGGTTGATATAGAAAAAACAAACAAACATGGATAGACTTGCATGAAATAATAAAGAATGAAGTGAGCAGAACCAAGAAAATATTGTCTACAGTAACAGCAATATTGTTTTAGAACAACTTTGAATGACTAAGTCACTTTGACTATTATAAATAGCCAAATTAACTACCTATGATGCTATCTGCATTGAGAGAAAGAATGGATAAATAGATGTATGTATAGAATGTTTTACACATATGTGAATGTACATATACACACATATTTGTATCTAATGGTAGCCATCACTAGGGGGAGGAGGAAGGAAGAAAAAAAGGGAAAAAATAAGTTACATGATAACTTTATCATATATTTAAGAGGAATAACAACTTGTACAGAATAGATTGCAGTTTCATGTGCAATCATTTTTTTATTCTGCTGTATTATGAAAATGCTAGTTTTATTTAATAAGTTAAAAAGAAAATTAAAAAATAAGAAAGTGGAATCTTTCACAGGAATAAGGAAGTTAGCAATGAGGTTGGATTTGCAGAGAAAGATAATCACAAAATCACAGAATTTAAGAGTTAGAAGGGGCCTCAGTAGCCAGCCACCTAGTCCAAATCATAAAAGAAATGTCTACTGTGTGGAGTTTGGCCTTTGTCTAGTTTTCAAGGCCATCTACAGTTTAGTCTCTGCCTTTATAGCTTTAATTCCTGCTTCCTAGTTCTATGTGTTCTACATTGAAACCAAGGTGGATTATTTTCTGTTCACCATACACACTCTATGATTTTATCCTCTGTGACTTTGCTAACGCTGTTCCCTAAAACTGGAAAGTCCTTCATGTCCCATATTTGCCAATTAAATTCTTGCCCCTTCTTTAAAGCTCAACCCAAATTTCACTCCTTTAAGATCTTCCCTGAAACTGATGATTGTGACCTTCTTTTTTCTCATACCTTAAGTAGTACTGTTTGCTTGTACTGTATTAGAGGGTTTTATACATGTATATAATCTCCTAAAAGAATATAAGCTACTTGAGCACAAGGACAATGGCTTGTCAACTTCCCCAATGAAAATTACAGTGTTCTATGCACAATAGAGGCTTACTAAATGTTGCTGATTTAATTCATCCAACTAGTCTGAGTATTCCTTGCAATCAGGGACTAGGTCATAACTCAACTGTTGTATCTTCCCCAATGGCTACAACAATCTCTTGTATATGGCAATCCCTCTATCTATCTATCTATCTATCTATCTATCTATCTATCTATCTATCTCTATCTATCTATCTATGTGTGTGTGTATATATATGTAATGTGCATCTGTGTTTGAGCTTAATTGAATTTTGATACTCAACAAATGTCAAATTTTGATCACTATTATAACTGACATCCTTTTTTTCTTCAAGGAAAACATAGCAACTTCAAAATTTGGTCTCTATTTTCTCAATAAATGGACCTATGAATCCAGTTTGACATGGAACAAAAAATTACACTATAATTAGTCTTTAGATAATAAAAGTTATAATAATGATGATAATTTTCACATATAGTACACCTAACATTTGTAAAGTGCTTTAGATGTATTACCTCTTTTGACTCTCACATCATCCCTTTGATATGGGTGCTATTATTATCCATATTTTATAGATAAAGAAACTTTAAGTGACTTTTTGAGTTTCAAACACTGAATAAATATGTGGGATATGATTCAAATCCAAGTCTTACCAATTATAAGTATGGTAGTTGAGCACTAGAGTCTATGCCATACTGTGATCTGTGTGATATTGAATTTATGATGGTCTTTCCAGAGATATGCTAAAACCCATGTCCATGCAGATATTCTAGGTACTTCAAAGGCTATTGATGTTAAATGGGATTCTTTTCAAGAGAAAACAAACCACCTCTGATCCCACTTCATTATTGCCAGTGTTCATTGCCTATTTTCATTATGAAGACAGTCTTATAGTCATTCTAATACTGAACCTCCCCAAAGATGCCATCAATAACAAATTTAAAGTCATTTAAAATCAGATCATCTAACCTCTAGTTCCTGGAACTCCTCTTCTTCTTCCACATCATAGGAGAGAGTATGGATCTTGATGTCATCTGAAGAAAGGTCAATGAATTTTCCATCAGGATACTCCAGGCTATCTTTGGTAGGTGAGCGGTCCTCGATAAAGGTGGTCTCACAGCAGTCCGAGCTGCCACTCTCCCCCCAGGAACGCAGCACATTCTCTGAGTACAGGATGATGTTGGGGCGATAGTGAGATTCCACAGTCTGTTGAAGTGTATTGGGATCCAGTAACTGCTGCACTGGATCATTCCTGTTGTTGTCTAGGCAGCTCTGGGATGAGACATTCCCCACTATGTGAGTCTGATACTGGGGTGTTGGGTAAACAGATACCAGGCCATCTCTGTTCTCTGCCATCAAGTTTCTGGTATTAATTAAGCCGTTCCTTTTCCCAGCTTCACTGATTTTACTGTGCATTAGTACACTATTCTGTTCAATTAAGCCATCCATATTGTTTTTGCTTCTCCTTCAGTATTATTAGCTGGTATCTTGAAAACGCAGGTCACATCTGCCTAATGGCTCCCATTTTCCTAGGGGCAAAAAACACTGAGATGAGAAACAAAAGACAAAAAAACAAAAAACAAAAACAACAATGACATAGAAACCATTTAAACTGTCATTGTTATAAATCATTCGAGTCACCTTATATCCATAATAGCTAACACAGGAAATTAATAATAATCATCCTAGCTAGTTCATGAATTTTAAAAAGGACTCTCTTACAATACCTGGTTGTAAGGAAACTGCAAATGAATTACTAGTCTACATTAAATCTTAACTTCCATGGTAAAAAATACAATGAAAAAATGAGAATCATCCACACAAAGGTATATTGTTCCAAAACTGACCCACTTGATGATATACTTTCTGGATCACACAGACCCACACCAAAAGCAAACCACTAAAATTTAATGGCCCAAAATCTTTGTCTAATGTTTTTAAAATAATTTCCATTAAACTATAAACTAAAATTATTGGTGGATATTCAGTGTTACTAAAATATTAGGGAAGAAACATATAAGCAGTACATGTGACTTTGGAAATCAAAGGGGGACTTTAATGCCATATAGTCCAGAAATCATTCTTAGCTCCTGGGTAGTAGCCAGTGGATCACATTTTGCTGAGTACAGATCTAACCTATCTCTTTCACTAAAATGTATTGGTATTCCTTGTTTTCACATCACTTTGACTTTCACATATTTCCTCCCCTCCCCTAACCAGTGATCAAACTTTGATTTCACTGGTATAGGCAACTCTCTGGATGAGAAAATTTCATCTACTGATGAAGTTCACCATCTTCTTTATAAATTATTTTCTTACAAAGTTGCTCAAAGCACTGAGAAGATAAAATGACTTGCCTAGGGCCACACAGGTATGGCTGGTCTCAAACCCAGGTCATCCAGGTTCCAGGGACAGTTCTCTATCTAATATGCTACATTGTGACTCTTATTTCTCATAAAGAATTAAAAAGAAAGGGCAAAAATAGAGTATTCAAAAAAAACAACTAATCATTACATAATAACTAGCAAATAATAATAGTTGAAATTTATGTAGTGCTTTAAGATTTACAAAGCACGTTCTTCTATATGCTACCTCAATTCATTATCCTCATTTAACAGACAAAAACATTGAGGCAGAGAGGTTGTGTGTCTTTCCCAGAATCACACAGCTATTAAGTGTCTGAGGCAGGATTTGAACTCATTTCATCCTAATACCAAACCCTATACTCTATCCACTGGCCACATATCAGCTGACAATATATGTATTTTTCTACTCCAGAAACTTCCACCTATACAAAAAAAAGGTGAGTACATTTTAAAATATTTTTTTGGGTCAAGTTTGGTCATTATAATTTCACTTGTATTGCTGTTGTTATTTTCCTGGTTTATATTACTGTAGTCATTATGCATATTGATTTTCTGTTTCTATTTATTTTATTCTATATCAGTTCATATAAGTCTTGCCATTAAACCTCTAATTTCATAGATGAGGCAACTGAAGCTAAGAAAGTTGAAGTAATTTGTCTAAGACTGCATCTAGTATATGACAGAGACAGGATTAGATTTAAGTCTTCTGACTCAGAGTTTAGGGTTTTCATGATACCTGTCACACATGTTACATGAAACTTTGCAATATAATTTACAACTTCTTTGTGGTATATATACCTAGATGTATAGAGTATTAAATATGCTCTAACAGATTAATAACATAAGTAAATTGGCCCACAGACTTAATAGAGAAAATCCTTTGAGGCAGAGGTGTCAAGATGTGTTCTTTGCCTTTGTCAAATTGAGGTTTATTGAAAATTTCCATTTTATTTATCCATAATTTAAAAAAAGGACTTTCTGGTCAGGAAAGCAGAAGGTACATTCTTCAGAAATGAAATTGATGCAAAACAAAAATATTAATAAGATTTTTAAAAGTAAAAAGTAAAAATCCATGCAAAAAATCATGGACTTACGAATTCCTCCTCTAATGATTCATTGTGATGTGGATATGGCTCTGGGATTCTCAAAAGCTGTGCTAGAGAAGCCCAAGCTTTGACATGTCCTACCAAGAATCTTTGATTTTAGGTTTAAATTTGGAGATTATGGAAGAGGGAGGGGGAGAGGCAGGGATAGATTATTAAAGATCTCAAAATTAAGCCAAGGAATTTAGCTCAGCCAAGGAGGGTTTGAAAGGTTAATTAGGCTGGTTCCAACTTATCCTGCCAGCTTCCTTATATGCTACTCTTTTTCTTCCCCTCTATAGTGTAGCCAAGTGGCTAAATGGGCCTTCTTGCTGTGTCTCACACCTGGTACACCATATGGAATCTCTGTAACTTTGCCTGATCACTCCTTTCACTTCCACCTCAGAAAATCTCTTACTTCCTTCTGTCAAGATGGAGTTCAAGGACTACCATCTAAATAAGCCTTTTTTGATTGTCCTGCTTCCTAAATCTCTCTCTGTCTCTGTCTCTCTCTCTGTCTCTGTCTCTGTCTCTCTCTCTCTCTGTCTCTCTCTCTCTCTCTCTCTCTCTCTCTCTCTCTCTCTCTCTCTCTCTCTCTCTCCCTCTCTCTGTCGCCCTTCCCTTCCTCCCTCCCCCCTCTCATATCCTTTTGAGTTTTGGAGAAACACTCTAGATAATTTATCCATCCCTGTTTACTTTCCTTCTCTCCCTATATTTCTATCACAGACTCCTTTTCAAACTTGGATATGTGATTAAACTAGAGAAGATCTGATTCAAAATCAAGTCCATTTCCTTCCTTGCCATCCACCTTCCAAATTGTTTTGGCTTTCTTTTGGATCTGGCTTCCTGTGGGAGCCACCCATCCATATTTGTTGCCACACCCCTCCCACAGCCCAGTAGAGAAGGCAGACAAGAAGTGAACAGACCTGGGAATGAGCACTTGCTCATCTTTAAAATGTGGTGTTAGATGTAGTAACTCTGGGGAATAACAGAGATACAATCTTTTGTAACTCAAAGTAAGTTATATTGAACTATTCAAACTTTAAGAATTATTTTATTTATTATGAAAAATATCTATATTTTTAAAATTAATTACCAAGTATAAAAAAGCCCTTCATTTAAGCTTTCTTAGTGAAAAATTTTGAAAAAATAAGGAACCTACTTCAATTGAAATTTGGGTTAAAAGCATAGAGGAGAGGAAAAGGGTATGCGGAAGAGAATTAGGTTTTTGTTTTTTTTTTAATTTTTTAAGAACTAAATTAAGGAATCTTCCAGTTGTATAACTGTAGTCAGCCACTCTATCGATCCTTTTATTCAATCATTCAAAAATTTCTCATTTATTAAAATAGAATATGACAGAGATAGTATTAGATCTAAGTCCTCTGACTCAGAGTTTAGGGTTTTCATGATACCTGTCACACATATTACGTGAAACTTTGCAATATAATTTACAGACTTCTTTGTGGTATTAGAGCCTAGATGTATAGAGTATATACTGTATATCCACACAACTGTAATCCACACAACTATTTTTCCTTTCTATTTTCTTCAAATTTAAGGTCTTTCTTATAATTTAGGTGGTATTGTTATATAACATAGTAAAGTTGCAACTTTTTGGGGGTGAAAGTAGGGGAACATTGAAGAAAGACTACTGAATTATTGAAGTTAAATACTGAGAATACCTAAAATGTGATTTTTGCCTCTTTCAAGCAGAGTGCATAATAAATGACAAGCTACAGATGTACTAATAATGATCTACCTTTAGATACATAAACTTACAGAGAGATACCAGGGCTGATTAGCTGTGTTATCTCTCATAACCTCATACCACTGTTAAAGAACAAATCATCTTTAGATATTTAAGTTCAAAGTTAGAAAACAAAGCTATGCATATGTTTGAAGTCTTCAAGACTTGTTTAGGCACTAATTCCCATTGACTCAATGGCTTTCTTTAATCATTTTCAATTCACAGATGAACTGCTTGGAAGCCTATATGTTTAGGAATTTTGTATAGCCTGTTTTAACTATTTATGAAATTTTTCTAAGTAGGTTTTGTGCATTTATGGTCTCAAATGCTATTTGAGTAGGATTTGAAACTATATATTGATTAGAATAATCTATATTTCCTGACAACGTTAAGCTTTAATATATCTTAAATTAATTACAGATCTAAAGTATCTTGAAATAAAGAATCTTGTTTTATGCTTCTTCTGTGTTCCCCTCTCCCTCCCCCTCACATTAGACTATGTTGAATTAAATTCAGCAAACATTTATCCAGTGCTTATTACAGGATAAAGGGTACATTTTAAAAATCTTTCATCTACAGGAGCTTACAATCTATTGCAGGTATAGCATATAATACTGATAAATAAGCACAAGGTAGTCTGATTAGGGAGACACTAGGAACAACTGTGAGAACTGGGGAAAATAGTATAGAAAAGATAATTCCTGAGCTAAACCTTAAAGGAAAATAAGGATCTGAGAGGCAGAAGTAAGGAAAGAATTCCACACCTGTTCAAAGGCACACAGATAGGAGTTGGAATATTGACTCCTAGGAACAGCTAATTGTCTTGTTTGTTTGAATTGTATTACACACCAAATAGAGCAAAAAGAAATAAGGTTAGGAAGGTTGATTGAAACCAGGATATAGAGGGTCTAAAGTGCTAGAATGGGTAGTTTATCTTTTTTTCCTAGAAGCATTTGGGAATTGTCAAATGCTTTTATTAAGAGAGTGACATGATCAAATGTGTACTTGGAAATTTTATTTTAAAATCTACCTGTATGTTACTGTGGGAGTGGGAGAGACTGGAAGCAATGAGAACAGTTGGGTGGCTATCATGATAAACCCAGGGAGATATGAAGGCCTGAACTAAGTCAGTGGCCAGGTGGGTGTAGAAAAGAGGACAAATGAAAAAGATGCCATGGAGGTATAATCAACAACTTTGTAACTGACTGGATATGAAGGCTTGAATATGGGAAAAAGTCAAATATGAATGTTAGAGTACAAACTTGGATGACTTGGAGGATAACAGTACCCACCACAAAAATTAGGAAATTTTGAAGAAGTTCATAGGAAAAGAG